CTTCTCTCTGAAACCTCTCCTGACTCCTTGGTGGCTGGTGCCTTCCAGCCCCCAGTTCCCTGCTCGCATCTCTAACTGCACTTGACACATGTGTCCCTCACACATCACAGACTAAAACCATGCTGATAAGGACTGCGTCCTCTTCGTGTTCGTGTCTCTGGCACCCAGCACCAGTCACTTAGCCCACACGTATTCCAAACCCACCCTGACACTTCAAGATCCTGTTGGGGCCAGGCGGGAAGAGAAACTCCTCAAGATGGCGGATACCCCAAATGGCTGAGGTTCCTGTCACCACCTCCACCTGGGAAGCCAATGGACCAATGACCTGCTGACAGCTTGACGCAGACCCTTAGACCTCTCCTTTGGACTTACCCAACCGGACCCAATGCCCTTCAAACCCCAGAGGAGGAAGTCACCTTTGACTGACCGAATTGCAATCCTTCCTTTGCATAGTGAGGGTCACTCTGACTGGTTGGATTGCAATCCTTCCTTTGCATATGAGCCGACCAATAGGAAACCGTTCTGCCTTACAACGTTATGTAAACCCCCTGCCACCTTGTCTTGGCGCGACTTCCCCGACTCACTCTTCCCTTCCGTGAGTCGTGGAACCTCGCCCGAGGGTACCTGCAATAAAATCTGTTCTTGGACCCTCGCTTGCCTTGGCGGTCTCATTTCCATTTAGTTACCAAAAAACCTAACAGATCCCAACTAGGTTAGTCTAAACCAAATGCTCCTTACTGCACCAGATTTTCACCTAGAGGCAAACAGTGAAAGTAGATTTTCCCGGGAACACAACCCGGAGAACCTAACCAGGGTAAGGTATCTTTCTTTAGAACCAGACACCAAGCAGGAACCAGCTTCCTTAAGAATCTGCCTGCTGGTCAGTTAAGAGGTGCTACTCAAGATCGCAGCCAAGGTGTGACGTCAGAGACCTGAAGACCTGGCTCTGGCCTAGTTTATCTACTGGACCAGACCTTAAAAGCCTCAGTGAAAATGCAAGCGATGCCCCAAAGATCTTGGGTCTGACTTTTACTGCAGTCAATAGCACCCAGGGGAATCTGTTTCTCAGATCAGCCAGCCAGTCACCCAAGAGAGGGGATAACTCCAGGAGTCAGTAAGAGTGTGGTATCTGGAGGGGGAAGGCAGTGCTACAGGGAACCTGAGGGGTCTCTCATGTGTTGCTGGGCAGGGAGGTTCTCACCCTGCTCCATCCTCAGAAGCAACCTCATTGGGATCCCTGGGTGGCGCAGCGGTTTGGCGCCTGCCTTTGGCCCAGGGCACGATCCTGGAGACCAGGGATCAAGTCCCACGTCGGGCTCCCTGCATGGAGCCTGCTTCTCCCTCTGCCTGTGTCTCCGCCTCTCTCTCTCTCTCTGTGTGTGTGTGACTATCATAAATAAAGAAAAAATTTTAAAAAAAAGCAACCTCATTAGAGTATTTCTTGGACCCCTAACAAAACACCAGGCCTTGTGCATATACCAGGTAACCTCATCCCACTTAAGTCTGGGGGACAACCCGCCAAAACAAGCAAACTCAGGGACCATAGTTGTGTGGGTAAGGTGTGGATGAAGCCAGAATACACAAATGTGCAGGTATTTGTGAAAGGCCATCTGGCCTACAGAGCAAGTGGCCAAGGGAATAGGAAGGAAGGGGCTCAGCTTTCCAAGGCAGTGCTGCATTCAGGGAAGTAAAAGATTCCAAGTTCGGTGAAGTGATCACCTGTAAACCTAGTCTCCAATAGCACACATAACTCAAATAGGAGGTCAGTGACCGGTTCCAAACCTGGTTCTCCAAAATCCCATATGGGTCATTACATTCTCTTAGCAAGTTTTACCTGTAATATATAAACAGCCTTTGTAACGCTTGGAGAGAATGCTTGGTACTCTGCATCTGATCAAGGTGAGGTGGGAGACCCAGCTGGTGGCATTCACTCACCCACCGCACATTCACTGACTGGTTTCACCAATCAATTTCACTGATTTTCACTGATGGATTTCACCAAGCTAGGCGCACCCTGCAAGGGGCACGAGCTTGGAAAGGACCAAGCTGGAATCAGTCAGCTCCTGCCCCCAAGTCGGCACCTCTCTCCTCCAGGCAGGGGTACTGACTCCACTTAAGGCTCCATTTAGTATCAGGTTCACTGGTGCTGACCCAGCCCCGTGACAGAGGATTGACCCCAATGCACCGTCCCTCTGAGGCTGGGCTCTGGGCAAGGAGGAGAAGAAAAGAACAGGAGCTGTGAAAATCATGCACAGTCTTAGATCACAGGTGTGGTATAGGTGGGAAATGCGATGGCCTTCGGCTTTTAGTGATGCACACAACAAACTCTGGCTCATGTTTACTGAGACGTACTATATGTGGGGGATCGAGCTAAGCCCTCTACCTGCGTGCGTACGTGCGTGTGTGTGCACACACCACAGTCCAGATGTTTGTGTGAATCCTGGCCCTACCACCCACTAGCTGCGTGACTTTGGGCAAACTGCTTAGCCTCTCTCTGCCTCGTTTCTTTGTCGGGAAAACAGGGCAATATCGGTTCAAACTTTAAAGGGTCATTATGAGGATTAAATGAGGTTAAAACATAAAATGCTAAACTTGAACCATGTCCTGGCACGGAGTGGCAGTCGGTATTATCCCATCAGTTAGTTACTCCAGCCTGCCGAGGAGACGGACTATTTCTTCCTATCTTACCAATGAGGCTTTGAGAGGCCGAGTCAACTTGCTCAAGGTCCCAGAGTTAATAAGTGGCAGAGCTGGGATCTGAACGCAGGCGGCCTGGCTCCAAAGCCTGCAAGCTTCACCACCACCGTGAGTACGGCAGCGTGCGAGGTTCTGCGTACACAGAGACCAGCGTGGGGATGAGCAAGGGATCCCTATCCAGTAACCACTAGAGGGAAGATAGATGGAAAAAAAAGAGGCAGAGGAGGGCCAGAGCTGGGGCAGCAGAGAGCAACAGAATCGCTGCGGGAACTGAAGAATGCTACACTCCACGTACGCTCTCGGCTCAAAGAACCAAAGGACGATGAGGAATTTGCCAAGGAGGAGGAAGTACACTGCAAAAAGTCAGGACCTAGAATGCCAAAACAGTAAGTTGGGTGGTGTGGCGGCCACCTCAAGAGGTGAAATAAGGGGAGGCCGGGAAGGAAAGTCGAGGCCTAACCATGAACAGCCACGTGAGCCACGGCTGGAGGTGAGATGTTCCTCCGCATGACAGGGATTCTCACACCCTAATGTGTACAGGATCCGCCTCTGGTGCTTGTAAGACATGCGCAGGTTCCCGTCCCTTCGGTAAGCACTGGGGGGCCAACTGAGGGTATTAAGACAATGTCGTAGGTAGCCTGACCTGCTGTGGTTTTAACAACAGAATTCTGGCACTGGAATGAGAGGAGATCTAGGGACAGAGGCTGGTATAATCGTCCAAACTGGAGCAGATAAGAGGATGAGAGCTGGGAATAACAGCACTCTTCGTGAACTGATACATTACACCAGGGTTTCTCCACCTCACCACTACTGACATTTTGTGCTGGGTAATGCGTCGCTGTGGGGGGCTGCCCTGTGCCTTATAGGCTCTTCAGCAGCAGCCCTGGCCTCTGCCCGCCTGATGAATAGCATCCTCCCCCACTTACATGCTGACAGCCAAAAATGTTTCCAGACATTGCCAGATATCACTTGGGAAGCAAAAATGGAAACCCCAGTTGAGAACCACTTTGAATCCTCCCATCCCTACTCTACAGAGGAGGAACTCCAGTGGAAGAAAGGTACAGGAAGGCCTCAGCCAGATTCAAACCCTGGTGGTCGGGCTCCAGGGCCTGGGCTCTTAGGCGCCGAGCCTAACTGCCTTTCCCGGAAAGAGACTCAAGCCAGCTTTCTGGGGCAGAATTATATATATTTTTTGGAAGACCGGATGATGAGAAGAGGATGAAAGAGTGAGGTTCAAAGGTGAAACCTCAGTGCTTACTACTGAACCGTGAAGATAGTAGGTACTAAATAAATTTGAAAAGAATTAAGATGCATTTGCTCAAAACAGAAAAAGCCTGATTCTCCATGGTATGAACTGGCGAGAGATGATGGGTTTTGCTCACTCTGGGTTAAGGAACCCTCTACAGGGCTGGACATGGGGATGTGTCCAGCTGGTACCTGGATCCTGCTGGGGGGGGGGGGGCTTCCCAGCTATGTGGCCCTGGACACGTTACTTAACGTCTCTGTATCTCATTTTGCCCGTTTGTAAAATGGGGGTGGGAGTCCCTACTCAGAGGCTTGATTTGAGAAGTTAGGCAGTTAACACGCACAAAATGGCAAGCCAGAACGCTGTGGCTGGCCCTCCTCTCCTTCCAGGAGCCATCCTCCTTACCTCCCCGCCGCGCTCCCCCCCCCCCCCGCCCCTTCCAATCGGAGCGGCCAGGAGACTCGGCTCCCTCTGCACCAGCAGAGCGTCCCACTGAGGCTTTAGGGGGCGCCAACGGCCTTTCCACTCCCCAGTGCGCTCCGAGGTCGGGGTCCTGGGGGTCGCCAAAGGCGCACGGCGACCTGGGTGCCTCCAAAAGGAGCGAGCTCCGCGAGTTTAAGGCGCGCCACAGCGCGTTCGGGCAGGTGGGCGCCGGGCAGGCCCAGGGTCCGAGCGCGTCTCCGGGCGGGCCGGCCCGCTCCGCCCCAGCGCCCGAGGGAGCGGGACAGAAGCGCCGAGATTCCGGGAGGACCCGCTCTCCCGAGCCAGGCTGCCGAGGCAGAGAGCTCAGAGTTCGGGGATCGAGCCAAAAAGAAGCTGGGAGCGGGGGAAGCAAGGAAAATAGGAGGAAGAGGAGGCAAAAAAGAAAGCGCCGGGAAGCAGAGCTCCCGGGGGGCCCAGCCTGCAACACCTGGGCGGGGGGTCGGGAACAAAGCAGCGGCTTCAGGTCAGAGGTGCTCCGGGTGCTTCCGAAGAGGGGGCGCTCGGGGGAGGCCCAGGACGGCTGCGGATGCCCGGCGCCCCTGCGCCCCGGGGCGCGCTCTCGGGGGCCTCTTACCTTCTCCGGGGCCGCCGGGGCCGCGGCGCGCACTTCCGGGGGCTGCGCTCGGGGCGCGCGGGGCCGAGCTGGGGGACCCGAGCGACCTCGGAGGGGAGGAGGCGGCGGGGAGGCGCCCGCGGCTCGGGCCGGCTCGGACGCCTCGGAGGGGATCCCGGGGGGAGCCGCCAGGGCTGGCGCGGGGTGCGGGCGCGGGCGCGGGGCGCGGGGTGCTGGCCTCAGCGCTCGCGGGCGGCCGCACGGAGCCCCGCAGACGCCGGAGGAGCCCGAGTCAGTGGGAGGAAAAGGTTGTCTCATTTCCTTCGGTCTCCCCCCGCCTCCCCCGCTCGGCTCCGGACCTGCCCTCCCTCTCCCCCGCCCCCTTCCCCAAGCCCGCTGCCCCTGTGGGCGCTGGAGAGACGCGGATCCTGAAGGGCTGCGGCTTGCGGCGCCTCCTCCACGCCGAGTCGGTTCGCGCTCCCCAACTCCCCTGCCGGCCGGCCGGCCCTCTGCAGCGCCCCGGAAGGTTCCCCACCAGCCGTCTCCACCCTGTCCCGGAGCTCTAGCTGGGGACGAGTCCGGGTTTGAAAGCAGACCTCCACGCTCCCGCCGGCGTCCATCCTCTCATTCCGGTCCCATCGCCGGCTTTGAGCCCCTGTTAAGGCACCCAACGCGGACAGAAGTACTATGTTAAATTTGATTGGCGCTTTTTTTTCCCCCAGTGGGGGGGCGTTTAAATATTTTTTTTCTTTATTTATTTATGATAGTCACAGAGAGAGAGAGAGAGAGAGAGAGAGAGAGAGCGAGAGAGGCAGACACAGGCAGAGGGAGAAGCAGGCTCCATGCACCGGGAGCCCAACGTGGGATTCGATCCCGGGTCGCCAGGATCGCGCCCTGGGCCAAAGGCAGGCGCCAAACCGCTGCGCCACCCAGGGATCCCGGTGGGGGTGTTTAAAGCCTGATGCATAACCTCGAAGGAATGTCCATTTTGATCAGAAGGAGAGCAGCTGAGGTCTTTGTTTGGCCTTGCTCTTTCAGAGTTGACGTTTTGTTTGTTAAATTCAGCAACTATTTATTGAGAGCCCGATAGGCGTTGAGCTGGGCCCTGGAAATGCAGAAATGAACCCGAAGGGCATGTTGTTCCTAGACAGTCGTGGTGGTGACGAGTGCAAGCAGAGAGGTGGTCCAGGGATGCTACAGTCTCTTACTTTAAGAGAGGTCAGGGATTGGAAGAGCATTCTGTGGAGTGAAAACAGCATGGGCAGAGGCAAGAAGGAATGAGAAAGCCCCCCCATCAGGAGGCCGTCTAGCCGAGATCATGGCCAGAGCTGGGAATGGTGGTGGGGAAACAGGAAAAGAGCCAATCCATCAAGAAAGGATGGGAGCCGCAGGGAACAGTGGGGTGGAATTGATAGGCCCTGGTAACCAAGAGCTGCTGTAGATGAGGAGAGAGGGTGAAAGAAAGAAGTAACTTCCAGACCTCAGGCTGGAGTAACTGGGGACCGACCAGTGGAGGAACAGAATCCAGGGTGCCTTCTGGCGCCAATACCCAAATGTGTTCCTGAGATTGGTTGTATTAACATCAACTGGGAGCTTATTAGAACTAGGGACTTTCCAGTTGACCTTGACCACTTGACCTCCTGAATCAGAATGTGCATTTTAACAAGATCGCCAGAGATTCAAATATGCAATAGAATTGTGGAAGCACTGCTCTCTAGACCACTGACTGTATACTGGAATGATCGTATATATTAGACTGCGAGGCCCCTAATGTATATTAGAAACACCTGAGGAGCATTAAAAATGAATATGAGGCCCCTGCTGCACCCCCACAAATGCTTATTTAATTGGTTTGCGGGTGGGGCTCCAACATTAGTATTTTTGATACGCTTTCCAGATGATCTAATACAGTCAGAGTGGAGAACCACTGTTCTAGACTTATTTGAGAGCTACTGCACTTAACCTTGAAATGCACTTCTTCAGAAAGGAAAAGAACACCCACGTGTAAATGAAAATATAAAGACTAGTTATCTCACTCTCACAAGGAGGCGGTTGGTCCGCTGGAAAGGGCCCTTGTATCCTAAACATATCAGGAGAGTAGATTCTAGCCTCAGATGGCCCTGAAATTACTCTCTGAACTTAGGCATGTACTCCCCTCTCAGGCACCTCTCAGGTGTCACTCTCCTTATCTGTGAAAGACACACCCGACTAACTCCAGATCCCACCCCCCAGCTTGCAAGGAGCCATGATCAGAGCTTCTCCTAACTCTCCAGCTTTATCAGCAGGCAGATGGAAAGCAGTGTTGACAAGTGGATTTTCCTGGTGGAATAGTATGTGTGTCCGTCCCATGCGCAGCCATCCATGCATGATCACAAGGGACCAGAGGATTGTGTGCCGAGCACAGGGCCACTCACATAACTGGTGCTCAATAAATGTGTGCCAAATATACAAATAAATAATTAGATACACTGATGCCAATAAATGGCATTGGCTTACTATAGTCTGGTCCTAATCGTGGGCCTATTCATTTGTCCTCCTAAACTGGAGGAAGGACATTTGGCAATGCTCTGACCCACGAACCTGCTCTGGGTTTAAAACTAACTGCTGTTAAGATCCACTAACATTTGTTGAATACTTAGTGCCCACAGGCATTGGGCTAAATACCCTGCTTAGGATCAGCTCATTTCACTATAATGAAGAAGATACTGTTGAGCCCCTGCACCCAGCTGGTTTTAGGAATCACAGATACAGAGGGATACAGGGGGATGAAAGCTGCGTCTAAGGCAGCCCTTGCCTCTGTTGTGCAGCCCAACATAGGAGGCTCAAGAGCTCTTGGGAGTCTTCTAGGGGTCATTCTTCAGAATGTACATCCTTGCATAGAGACCACCTTTGAAAGGAATGGCTTTCGAGTGACTACTCCAGGGTCCTACAGAAACAGATGCTCCCAGAAGCCACCTCAGATAGCCTGTGGGCTATGGCCGAGCCCTGGGAAAGGCCTTCTCGAGACTGCTGGCTTCAGGGTGGTACACAGACATCTGTATATGTGTGCACTTGACATACACTAGCCTCTCAGCTGCCAGACCCTGTACCCAGCCTTTTCACCTGTATTTCTTTTCATCTTCACGCATCTTGACAGATGAAATGCTCTTCTTATTTTCTTGTTTTATAACTGAGAACACCGAGGCATCATGAAGTGAACACCTCTTTGTCCCAGCAGCTCCAGCTTCGTAGGGAGGACACCTTATTACCACTGCCCCTGCTGTGCACGTCCCCCACCAATACTGCCCCTTCCAGGGAAAAAAGAGTCCTTGTTTCAAGTCCCATTCATTCGTACGGCTACACATCATCAAAACTCTGCCTCATTTTCCCCACCGTAAAATAGTTGTCTGTCACTGCCTTTTTACTAAGGTGCTGTATGTGGCTGGACACCCCAGAGGCTGAGAGGAGATGAGGGGATATAACCTGTAAACTAAGAGAAATTGAAAGTAATTGGGGCTCTTTATCCCAGGATGAAAGGATCCAGTACTTCAATGATAGCACAACTATCATAATAGAGGAGATCTGTTTTCCATCTCTAAGAGGGCATAATGCAAGAATAGCACTACATGGGGGCACCTGGGAGGCTCAGCTGGTTGAGTGTCTGATTTGCCTTAGGTCATGATCTCCAGGTTCTAGGATCGAGCCCTGCATTGGGCTCCCTGCTCAGCGGGGTATCTGCTTCTCTCTCTCTCTCTCTCTCTCTCTCTCTCTCTCTCAAATAAATAAATAAAATCTTAAAAAAAAAAAAGAGTAGCATTATACAGCGTTTCAGACTCTAGGTCAGAAGTGAAGAAGGGGCATCAAGCTCCCATGCCAGATGAGGGCAGGTGTTCGTGGCTGCCTTGCAGAGCTTGTTGCTCCTGGTCCCATAGGGTCCATAGGATTGGCCTGAAGAGTGGAGGTAAATGAGAACACAAGCCTGGATTGAGATCCATAGGCCTAGCTGGGCAGGAGCAGAGGGAGTCCGTGTGCATAGGTACAGTGTGCAGCTCTAGTTACAGCCAGGGGTGAGGAATTAGAAAAAGATAAAGGAAAAAAGAAAAGAAAAGAAAAAGATAAAGGTTCATCCCAGGAAACCAGGATCTGTGGTAACCACGGCATGGTCCAGGCCCAGGGCTGTGAGCTGGGCTCCAATGTGAACAGCCTTGCTGAGGGGGCTGCCAGCAGGCCTGGTCCTCTCTGCAGAGTACACAGGGCCCCCTGGGCTCCACCTCCCCACACGCTGATGTCGCGGGCTACAGCACATCCAACTCAGGAGAAGGTCTCTTCAGGTCATGTTAACCATCAGTGAGGGGAGGCTGTGGCATTCTTTCAGGAACATCACGATGCCAGGACTGGATAGGAGGATGCCTATGTCTACGTCATCGCTGAGCCTCATCAATTAGCTTGAGTTTGACCAGGCCCCCCAGACACATTCCTGCTACTTGCACTTCCAAAGCTCCCATCCGTGTTTCTATGACAACAATATGACCATTTTACACAAAGTTCATTGTGGCCAATTTTTACTACTGGTTTTGCCTCAAACAAAAATATGACCTCAGATTTTGATTGTCCCCATTTTATTGATAAGGAAACTAAGGTACAACACCCAAAGGCAGACACCAAAATAAAGCCAAGCTACCAGCTGAACTAAGGTGATACTTTCAAGCCCCTATGTTTCTACCCCAAAATGAGCTGCAATGAGGAATGTCCAGATATGCCCTCACCCTAAACCGTCTGGCCCCTGTGTAGCCCATTTATCTATCAATGTAGTTCGGTTAACTGTCATTTCCTGGAGACCACCTACCCTTCATGGGAAATTGTCCAGACACCATAGACAACCTACACTTGACACTCAATCCTCACTTGAGGAGTGTTTTAAAATAATAAGCTGGGCTTTAGACCAGACCAATTGAATCAGAATCTTTGGGGGTGGGTGGGATCTTTTTTTCCCTTTTAACTTCTACAGGTAATTAAAGCATGCAATCGGTTTTAAGAACCACTTTTGTAGGAAATGAGACAAAATCTAGGTCCTAACAGGAGGAGTTTACAAAACAGTAAGAACCTCAGTCTAGTAGTGGATAGTTTCCAAAAGTCATCAGGAAAAGGAAAATATTGAAATCACTCCCTTGTCCGAAGCACATTAAGACAATGCCAAACTGACAAAAACCCCTAGATTTATCTCAGCCTTGAGTGAGTGAGGTCATCCCCACATGGTCAAGGGTAGGAAATCTGGTTCTGTCCCAAGAAAGTACAAATGATTGAAAC